CTTTCATACCGATGTTTCTCTCTCTCTCCCGACCCCTTCCTCTCTCTAAAATCAATAAAAAAAACATTTAAAAATAAATAAGTAAATAACGTGGAATTTAAAAATGCACACATGCATTACTTTGTAATTAAAACACAAAAAGAAAAATAATCAAAAGTAAAAGTAGGGCTAGAGTCTATATAAAAATATTAGTTCATTAACTGCCAATAATATTAACCTAGACTTTATTATAATAGAACAAAGATGACCAGGAGTACTCTAATGAACATCTTTCACATCAATTTTACTCAAATTTTTGTTTTGACAATCTGCTGAAGAGAAATTACTGGGTCAAAGGAAATGGTAAAATAATGTATGGCACATGCATATGAGATAATACTACATAGCCATTAAAGTGATTTTTGCAAGGAATTTAAAATGAAGTAACTAACATGCAGTGGGGAAATAAGATAGAGAACTATTTAGAAGATTCGTGCACGGGGGTGGGGGAGTGGGGGGGGTGTCCCTCAGCCTGACTTGCACCCTCTCCAATCTGGGAGCCCTCAGGGGAGCCCTCTCCAATCCGGGAGTTTCTGTCTGTCTTTGCAATCATATGAGCGAATTGTCTGAGACCCCCAACCCAGTTTGGTTTGTTGCTCACAGAATAATAGAGGGATTTATTTTTCTTTGCTTCATTGGTGGAGATTTCCTGGAAGTTTTAGGATATCTTCCCTTTAATTTTTCCTAGACACTCTGATTTTACTTATGTCTCTCACCTTTGCTTTCCCTCCATCACCCACCCGCAACAGTAACTTGCTTCAGACTCAATTTGCTCTAGTGTCTAGGTCACAGTAGTTCTCAACCTTCTGGCCCTTTAAATACAGTTCCTCATGTTGTGACCCAACCATAAAATTATTTTCATTGCTACTTCATAACTGTAATGTTCTACTGTTATGAATCGTAATGTAAATATCTGATATGCAGGATGGTCTTAGGCAACCCCTGTGAAAGGGTCGTTCGACCACCAAAGGGGTTGTGACCCACAGCTTGAGAACCGCTGGTCTAGGAGATCCGTCTGCCACCAGAACTATGATTCCCAGCATTCCTGGTGCTCCCTGAGCTCTCGGCTTCCGCTTCCGGTCCTGGGACTGCCATCAGAACTACTATTCCCAGAATTCCTGGTGCCCCCCCCACCCCCGCGCTGGGAGCGATCGAGGGAGCTACGGCCCCCCAAGCCTCCGGCTCTCCTGCTCTGTTCTCCGCCCGGTGACCAAGGGAGCCACGTTTCCCCAAGCTGCCAACTCTCCCGCTTCTGCTCTCTGTCTGGCCCCTGTGTATGCAAATTAACCCACCATCTTTGTCTGGTTAATTTGCATATTCACTCCTGACTGGCTGGTGAGCGTAGCGAAGGGAGGTCAATTTACATGTTTCTCTTTTATTATATAGGATGGGATCACCCATTCACCTATCCATTCATCTAGTAAGGCATAAAAAAACTCACCTACATTTTAGGAGTGGCTATCTCTAGGTGGTGGGATTACTGGTGGACTTAATTTTCTTGTCTTTTCAAACTTTTCTGTAATAAGCACTATTTTTATACTACTTCAAAATCTGTACAGGGTGGGGCAAAAGTGGGTTTACAGTTGTTCATATAGAAAATAACACAATACAATAATTAATAATACAAGAATAAGCTGTTTCATATATTAACAACTATCACATATTTTTGCCCCATCTGTATTAAATGGAAGGGACAATTTTAGAAATAAGAATAAAATGCAAATAACAAGAAATACATTTACTTCTGTAAGATATCACATGTGCTCTCACTAACAATCCCTAATTTAAAGTCTAACCTAAGTTTTAATGCTAACCCCAAACAAAATTCCCCATGTTGTCCTATGTCATAATCAGTTAATCAGATACTAGTAGGTGCCCTAAGAGTTAGAAACCTTCTGCACATCAGGGGACATTTATTCAACTGCCTAGTATTTCTTCCTGGTGGTCCTATAGATATTTTGAAATGTTCAAAATTGAATTCATATTCAACATTTAACTTGTCCAACACTGAATTTGTCATCTTTTTCCTCAAATTTGCTGCTGTTCTTTATCTCAGTGAATGGTATCACCATCCACCCACTCAATTAACCAAGCCAGAAACCTTGGACTCCACTTCCTTCTCCTCCCCCTCCATTGAATCTATTACCACATCCCATTAATCATGCCTCTTAATTTCTATGGACTTTGTTCACCTCTCTCTATTGCACTGCCTTCCTAACTCTGGCTACTATTGCTTCTCATTGTAATAGCTGGCACCAGAAATTGAACCCGAGCCCCTACGGTGCGCAGGCTGACACTCCAACTACTGAGCAACACTCTAAATTTCTTAAAACCCTTAAATGGTCCCCAATGTTCTTAGCATAGTATTCAAACTCTTTAACATGGCTTATAAGATCCTACAGGTTCTTACCCTTGTTTCCTTCCCCAGTTTTCATTTCCTCCAGCTCCCCTATGATTACTCAACATTATAGTCATCCTAAACCACATCTGGTTCCTAGAATGTGCCATGCTCGCTTCCCTCTAGCCTTTGAAGACATGGGTCCCTCAACATGGAACACCTGGCTCATTTTAAGTCTCAACATAAAGTTAAAAATTAAAAATTTTTAAAAAATATATTTTTATTGATTTCAGGAAGAAGAGAGAGTGACAGAAATATCAATGATGAGAGAATCATTGATCAGCTGCCTCCTGCATGCCCCCTACTAAGGATCCAGCCCACATCCTGGGCATGTGCCCTGATTGGGAATCGAACCATGATCTCCTGGTTCATAGGTCAACACCCAACCACTGAGCAACACTGTCCGGGCAAATTTAACATTCTTTAAAGCCTTCCCAAATCACCTTTGACTCAGTCATGAACCTATAAGCACTGGGTGTCCCCTGCTAGCTTTCATGGCACCTACCATAACTAGTACATTTATCACACCGTATCATTAGTGATTCCATCTGTATCCCCCACAGCATTCTCACTTCTAAGAGTTAGACCTGTATCTAACTTGTTCATATTTTATCACCAGCTAAAATAGTACCTGGGTCACAGAACTGCTCAATAAACATTTGCTAAATGAAAAAATATAAAATTATTTTTTAAAAATATATTTTATTGATTTTTTACAGAGAGGAAGGGAGAGGGATAGAGAGTTACGATGAGAGAGAAACATCGATCAGCTGCCTCTTGCACACCCCCTACTGGGGATGTGCCAGCAACCAAGGTACATGCCCTTGACCAGAATTGAACCTGGGACCTTTCAGTCTGCAGGCCAACGCTCTATCCACTGAGCCAAACCGGTTAGGGCTATAAAATTATTTTTAAAAAATAATGATGAAGAGCCTGGCTGGTGTGACTCAGTGGTTGAATGTTAACCTATGACCCATGAGGTCACAGTTCGATTCCTAGTCAAGGCACATGCCTGGGTTGCGGGCTCGATCCCCAGTAGGGGATGTGCAGGAGGCAACCAATCAATGATTCTTACTCATCATTCATATTTTTTTCTCTCTCTCCCTCTCCCTTCCTCTCTGAAATCAATAAAAAGGTATTTTAAAAAAATGATGATGAAGAGCACTTTTTGGGTTGTGGCTTTCAAAGGCTAGTATAGTAGTAGAATATGTGTTGTAGGACATATTTTATTTTTTTAAATCTGTAAAAATAAAAATTCTATGTGTCCTTTTAATGGAAAAGTTGCAACCTATCTTACTAGTTTAGTCACAGACCTTGTGACTATAAACTAATTCTACATGTATAAATACATGTTGAGACAATGGCATTGTGAAGTAAGGCAGGTGTTGTCATTTTTATCTAAATCTCAGAGAAATTACAAGATCTATCCAAAAAGAATTCCAGACCAGTGCTTTTCCAACTGGTCTAACTTAATGTGTTAATCACCTCTTGTTAAATAAAGATGATACTACAGACCAACTACAAGATGAATATGAACTTTGAACTGTTTATCTACTAATAGAATTGCGTCATCCACCCAAAGTACCTCTGTTTTGTTCATGTGACCACTGACACACATGCATGGGGGGTGGATGGAGGAGGGCAGTTTGTTGTAATAGGGCAAAGCAGTGCTAACTGCCTTGTGAAGGGATCAATGCCATGACCCTGACCTGAATGGCTAGGGTTTCCCAACCCTCTTTCATTTCAATGCAAACAGACTTTAGTCGAATACCAAGAACATTCAGAAAAAGAAGAAAGGAGTTTAACTTCAATGAAGGCACAACTCAAACACAGTAGTCTGGTATTAAGATTTTTTTGTGTCCTGAAATTTTACAAAAAGGTCAATCTAAAATGAGTGCTCTATTTAATTTACTTAGGCCCATTTAGATGCTGAAGAGGGTATACTTTTTTTTTTTTTTTAATCCTCACCTGAGGATATGGTGGTTTTTTTTTAAATGATTTTAGAGAGAGAGAGGAAGGGGAAGGGAAGGAAATGGAGAGAGAAACATTGGTGTGAGAGAAACACTGATCAGTTGCCTTCTGTACATGACCAACCTGGGATTGAACCTGCAACCTTTTGGTATATGGGATGATGCTCCAACCAACTCAGCCACACTGGCCAGAGCAAGGGTATACTTTTTATCTGAAAAACCTTAGGACTCTCACTATAAATAGCTAATGTCAGCCTCAAAATTCAGTAGTTAAACATAGTTTTATATTCCATGAAGTCTACTTTTGTGTGCATTCTGAAAACATGTCGAAATATGTTTTGCTTTTTCCTGATGCCCTCCCACTCCTTCCTGAGTCACCAGGATTTTGGCATCAGATTGCAGTGGTGATGAAAACTGATGATGCAGCAGGTGGACAGGAAGGGGCAGTAGTGGAAAAAACTTAAAGGACAGCTTGAGAGATCCAAGATAAATACTTGGCACATAAAAGCTTAGATACATATAGGCAGTTCCAGCCAAAGTTAGTCACTGAATTATTTCATAAGATAACTTGGCATCTAAAATATAACACATACCTGATAGCTGCTACCTTTCCAGAATTTTTTCATTTCTTTACGTCTCCAAGCAACAATTGAGGCAGTAATAAGTGTGCACGGTACTAAATAGAGGAGAGCAGGTTGCCCCTTTTTCATCAGCACCAGAACAACAAAGGTAATTATCATGCCAACAGCATAGGCTGCAAAAAGAGTAACAAATATTAGTCATTTCTGAATGCTTCCAAAGGTGGATTTTAAAAGATTAAAAAAATGTATTTTTATTTTATTTCAGAGAGAGGAAGGGAGAAGAGAGATAGAAACATCAATGATGAGAGAGAATCATTGATTGGCTGCCTCCTACACACCCCCTACTGAGGATCGAGCCCACAACCTGGGCATGTGCCTTTGACTGGAATCGAATCTGGGACCCTTCAGTCTGCAGGCTGACCCTCTGTCCATTGAGCCAAATCAGCTAGGGCTTTTCTTTTTAAAAATATTTTTATTGATTTCAGAGAGGAAGGAAGAGGGAGAGAGAGATAGAAACATCAATGATGAGAGAGAATCATGGATCGGCTGCCTCCTGCACACCCCCTACTGGGGATCGAGCCTGCAACCTGGGCATGTGCCCTGACCGGGAATCGAACCATGACCTCCTGGTTCATAGGTCGACGCTCAACCACTGAGCCACACCAGCCGGGCCAAAGGTGGATTTTTTAAATCCCTAGTTGAAGTACTGGTTTTCAAGTATTTGAGGACGATTTTACCCTATGACTTCTTTTCATAATTTCATTATTTTCCTAGACAGTAATTAGGAGAGATAGGGCTTTTGAAAAACTTGGAAACTGGTTAGTATAAATACTAAACATCAACCATAGGTAAATATAATAAGTCAAGAAAGTCTCATGTATCTGTTACCATTAAGGATTTTGAGTTGTCTCACATCTTAGATAACTAAAATTTGGACCTGTAGGTACTAATGATTGCTTTGAAAAAAATCTTCCTCACATTGATTATGTATCTCCTGGTCTTGTGCAACAAGAGCATATCAAATATCATTTCATCTTTTCTTAATGACTCGGGGTCTCATTTTGAACATGGGATCTGAGAATATTGGAGCTGGAAGGGCCTTTACAGACAACTGAGTCTACCTCCTCATTTTACAGATGAGGCAATGGAGGACCAGGGAAGTGAAGTAAGCTGGCCAAAGTGACACAGCAGAAGTGACACAGTCCCTATTATTCACCTTTTCACTGAGTGTTCTTTTATTGTATCACAGTAACTGGTGCTAGACGCTTAATGTTAATGCCCTTAGAGCAGCGGTTCTCAACCTGTGGGTCGCGACCCCTTTGGCGGTCGAACAACCCTTTCACAGGGGTTGCCTAAGACCATCCTGCATATCAGATATTTACATTACGATTCATCACAGTAGCAACATTACAGTTATGAAGTAGCAACGAAAATAATTTTATGGTTGGGTCACAACATGAGGAACTGTATTTAAAGGGCCAAAAGGTTGAGAACCACTGCCTTAGAGAGTACACACTTAATGGCCTCAGAATGCTCTTCTTTTTTCATTTTTTATCTCTTCATTCACTTGTTGTTTCTAGTTATCAGGGTACCTATTTCTAGCACCACCCTTCTCTACTGCTAACCTACACTTTTAATTTTCTAAATTTAATTCGATTGTGGAATGGAAAACCTTGCTAGAACAGTACCTACTAGTAAATGGCTCTGGTGCAGGCCATTTACCTAAAAGAACTCTGGTGTATGGACTTTGATATACCTATTTGATATGTTCAGAAGTAGTATTTTTGGCTCCCTTCCTGCTCCTGTCTGTTCTTAACAACAGAAACAGAGCCCTAACTCGTTTGGCTCAGTGGATAGAGCGTCGGCCTATGGACTGAAAGGTCCCAGGTTCGATTCCGGTTAAGGGCATGTACCTTGGTTGCGGGCACAACCCCAGTAGGGGGTGTGCAGGAGGCAGCTGATCAATGTTTCTCTCTCATTGATGTTTCTAACTCTCTATCCCTCTCCCTTCTTCTCTGTAAAAAAATCAATAAAATATATTTTTAAAAAAATACAATAGAAACAGAGAGATAAGTAACAACTACTTGCTGTCCTAGGTGAGATGTTATTGTGCCATAAATTCATTTATATAAATACATAGTTATCTGTACAGTATTTTTTAAAAAATCTAGTATTATATAATTTGACTACTTGTGTGCCAGTTGCTCTAATAAGTATTTTACATATAAAATGTAATGTTTTTCTTTCACATATAATTTCCTTGTTAAGCCTCAAAAACCTTGTGAAGTAGGTAGTAAAGTATAATTATTCCTTTTTGATGGGAAAAAATATTTGTCTTATTAGTTAGTAATGACGAATTAGAATTTAGAGCTCCTTATTTTTAGACCTCTACCTTTTCCTACATATAACACAATTCAACATAATAATAAAAAAACACACAAAAAAGTTACCAATTGTGGAGGAGACATAGTATATAGAAGAAGAACCAGTCTGCTCATCAAATCTTCTACAGTATGCAATCAACAGGCCTTAAAAGAAAAAACACTCAACGTTATTTTCTTAAAACCACCACCACAACTCATAACACAACACTGTTATATTTTCTCTCTACTTGACTTTACTATGTAAATAAAATGTTTTTTGGGTGTGTGTGTGTGTGTGTGTATTTTTCATAAGAGCTAGTACTTTTTACCCATCAACAGGCACTTAGGACCCAGGGAAACGGTAAGAAACGTGAGGAAGGACAAAGTGTCAGCTAATTGAGAAATATTAATTACTTCTAAACTATATTTTTAGTGGGCTAGGGTGAAAAGTTTATTCTACGGGTAGCCCAATGAGAAAAATAATGCAGAGCTGCAATAACGGTCAGAGAAGACATGTTAAAAGCTCGTCAACTCCACCATATGCTATATGTTTTGTAGTACACTACCCTATAGGGCAGTGTTTACTATGTTTATAAATCACTTTTCCTAAATCACTTTTCCTAAAACGTAACTATTACTTTAAAACAGAAGTAACAGAAATTATAATACATTTGGTATTATTGAATTAAATTTTTAAAAAGGGTTTTGAATATATTATACTTCCTTAAGGAAGAAGGTCAAACTGATTCTAGTTGCTTCCTCTAAGAGACTTTTTGAGCCATGGAAGATATACTTTGGTTGTTACCAATTGGGCTTTGTCCTCTACCACTCAAAATGCTTTTTTCTTTCTTTATCATTGATCCCAGCTCTAGCAATAGCCAAGAGATACTTAATACAGAGTAGGTAACTTTTAACAAGTACTATATATTTAACAAATTGAAATGATCAGTATTTTTTACTGAAATTGTTACAAACAATTGCTTACCTGGTACAATAATGTCTCCAAAACCCAATATGGAAACTGGCATGGGGCATACACTCATTACTGAGAAATATGCCAGCTTTGGTACTTTGATGACTACTGGTAACTGTAATTATTTAAAAAAAAAAAGAAAAGAAAAAGGGTCACCAATAAACCCTCTTGGGAATTTTTACCCATACCTTTTAGAAAAGGAAGAATTAATATTAGAATGATTGTTTTAACATTTTAAAACTGACATTTAGAAGAACTTGAAATTAGAAAACATAAACTAGACACATATATATTCTGAATGTGTAGGAAGCTTGAAAGAAAGAGATATGTAGTTCTGGAAAAAACGAAACACGTGTAGGGTTAACTATTACTTCTAGTATCCCCACATCTAACCTCTTTTCCATTTTTAGCAAAAATATGACTTAGGCCTTGAAACAGATCTTTTTTTTTTTTTGGCAATCTGGATTTTTTTCCCCCAAAGAAGAGTCTTGTCTCAGAGGCTATAATTTAAAGTCCAATGAACATATCTGAAATACAATCCTTACTTTCTCATGGGGAGCTGAGGGTTGACCAGTGGCTTCCACCAAGTTTCCATCATTCTAGGATGAAACCCAAGTCAATAGGTATTTAATAATTTAGAATAACTAAGAAAAGGGCTATATTCTGTGAGAAATAAAGTTTTACAATACCTTAACATGCACGACATGACCAATTAATTACACAGGAAGGCAAATTATTAACTGGACACACATACATACAGTGGCAGCCAGTTCTGTTTAAATGCCATCGCTACCTTTTCATTATTTCCAAAAGGTCCAGCTGCAAGTTCAACCATGATACTCTCGCCGTTCTAAAATTGAGAAGATGAAAGAAATTGTCCAATCATTTAAAGAGAACAATCTGACAGTATTCAAGAATGATTTGGCCCTGTGGATTATGGCCTACCATAAATTGATTTTTTAAATGCACCATAAGCCCTGCTGCTGTGCTCAATGGTTAGTGACAACGTATGAACTGTAGGTCACAGTTCTATTCCCGGTCAGGACACATGCCCAGGTTGCAGGCTCGATCCCCAGTAGGGGGCATGCAATGATTCTCTCTCATCATTGATGTTTGTACCTTTCTCTCCCTCTCCCTTCCTCTCTGAAATCAATAAAAATACTTTAAAACTAAATAAATAAAATAAAATACTCCTTTTTTCCTAAAACAGTCTCTGTAGATAAGGTGGAGTAATCAGAAACAAAATCCACCTAGCAACACTGTTCCACTTTATCAGAACTCAACAATTTTCAGAAACTGACAGATAAACCATATACAGCTTATATGTATTGACAATCATATCTAGCATTTCTAATGGGCTATAAATTTTTCTGCTTTTAGTTATATCATGTCATATATTATGTGTCCTTAGTCATTTTTAGCGATAACAATTAATGGGGGCACAAGAAATATTTATTTTTTAATATTTAGATTTGTATTCAATATTGGTAACTTTATTTGAATAAATATACATTTGATCTCTGGCTACTCCCCACAATAACAAAACAATGAAGCCAAACTTGAGAGACCCAGCCCTAAAGAACTTGAGATGCTTCTCTACCCTAACTGCTGTCCAATATCAGCCCTGCCTGCTTTTATGGCCCAATCAAAACATTAACCTTAGCTGAGTTCTCTCCCTTGTGTCTGGCTCAGGCTTGTTATGTGGGCTCTGTGACGAGCTCATTAAAAAGTTATTTCCTGCCAGCCAAGTCTGCTGTGGAGAGGGGAAACATTCTGAGGTAGTGAGCTTCAGAATAGGTAGTGGGAAGGTAAATAAATGCTGAAGTTTAGAAAAATTGATTTACTAACTACAATATTTTACATGTGGGTGGGTGCAAAGGAGAAGTCACCGGAATGTTTTTAGGAGTACTTTGCTGATACCTGAGCTAAGTAGGAAGGATAAAGTCCCCAGCTATAGAAATCTTTTCCTCATGTTAAGCTTTGGGTTACTGAAGGGTTAAGTTACAGAGTTTAGAAAAATAAACTAATATTTAATACAGTTCCTTACAGCAAACTCCCATCATGTGATTCAATTTTCAGTTAAAAGAGTTTGGCTTGTTTTCTAACTGTTATTTAAAACATTTAACTGAAGAACATCATTGATATCCTCTCAAACAGTCCAAGGTATTTGAGTAACTACTATCTGCAAAATACTATAACAAAAACCATGGTGTATGAAATAAAAATGATGCCCTAGCCGGTTTGGCTCAGTGGATAGAGCATCAGCCCGCAGACTAAAGGGTCCCAGGTTCGATTTTGGTCAAGGGCACGTACTTCGGTTGCAGGCTCGATCCCCAGCCCTCATCAGGTTGCATGTGGGGAAGCAACCAATTGATGTGTCTCTCTCACATCGATGTTTCTCTCCCCCACTCTTCCCTTCCACTCTCTTTAAAAATCAATGGCAAAATATCCTCAGGAGAGGATTAACAACAAAATGAAGATAGGCTCTTATTGTCAGTACTAATAGACACCGGCCCCGCTAACTCATTAAAAGTTTACTAATACCAGGGTTGAGAACATGTTTAGATTGTCCAATATTCAATCCTTGAAATTTTCAGTGAGAACAACAAAAATAAGAAATTGCATAACTGATTTTCATTTTGAGTTTCCTACTAAAAGGTCTATAATTTCAATAAAAACAAACCAGACTGAGAAGACAGTGTTAAAGTAAATCTGTAACAGTGAACAGAGCAAAGAGCACTTCAATCTTTCCACCTGATCAGACTACTAGGAATTCCTAGTTGGTGGAAACTAAGATAGAAAAAAAGGAGATGAAGAATTCCCTAAGCACAGAAGGAAGAAAGAGGGCTCAAAGACATTTTTATTATTACCCTATACGTTTAAAATTCAAAAACTTTTTATGTATAGAGATTGGAAATAGTTTGCTGGCAGACACGTTTGACACTTAAAAAGTGATACTAGTGTTAAAACAGAATGGAAAAATTATTTTAAAACAAGAATTTATATAGCTATAGCCACTGTAAAATTTATGTGTCATATGCTATGACGATCTGTTGACCTATGACAATGGCTTTATAGAGAGAATGGTTTACTTTCATTATGAGATCTCTGATGGAGTGCCTTACAGAAACATCTTATTGAACCAAATACACTGATACAAGCTAGGACAACTTTAGATAGAACTTTAAAAAAAATGCTTTAATAAGTTAACAATTTTTGTTATAATCCGTAATACTAGTTCTGTGCTTTTGTGGGGTACTATTGCAAATAAAGTCAATTAGTCAAATGGCTCATCATCAAGGCACAGAAAGGTGCTAGTAAGATGGTTGGAGTAGTTGTGATTTGGGCCAATTTTAGCTTTCCAATGGGGCACAGGCTTGACTTACGCCATTATAGCAAGTACCTACTGGAAGTGCAGAGTTTCACAGTGATTTTACAAATGGTAGGGGCTAAAGAATGGATAAAGAACTAATGGGGAAAAAAGTAGTGATTATAATATCAAATATTAAATATGTGAAAGTGACAAAGGATAAAGAGATGATAGAAAGTTACAAAGCAAGACACGAAATAAAATAGGGGAAGTGGGAGAATTAGACAATAATTTAAAATATATTCATGAGATAGGAATAGGGACAAAGTGGAAAAATTGGGCAAATAATGAAAGACTATCACATTCACCCAACACCTCTCCCTTGTTCTGAGAACAGCACCTTCATTTTATTGAGGAGCTACTGGCAGAGTTGCAAATAGATGACCTAGGAGATGCCAGTTGTTATGATTCTAACATACTGGAAAAAGCCAGTCTGAGACCATGAACACATGGACAGAAGCAGAAAGGGAGCAGATGTAGCCCTGCGTCGAGTTTCTGCAGAGGCCAGCCCCATCTTGGCCTCTACACACAGCTTGGCTAGATGGGACCTTTTTGGTACAGAAAGGGTAGGTTGGGTTCTGTTAGTTGCAACCAAAAGAATTTTACTGATGGAAGAGGGAGGATGAAATGCTAGTAATACGCCTTCACACAATGGATTAGGAAACTGAAGCACAAAGAGCTATCTGACTTATCCAGGGTTACGAGGGTACACGTTAGGTCTTCAGATTTCCAGTGTGGTACTCTCAGATGACAGCTACAGAAATGGGAGAAGCAATGCTACATTTTCATTATTATTGTTGTCTATTTTATCTACAGCAAACATTTACTCTTTCCCAATAAGAAAAGATACTTTAAAAAGAGTGGGAAGCAAATTTACAGATATTCTCATATTCACATCAGTCAGGAGACATTTTTTACTTAGCAGAATGGCTTAAAGGCTTGAAAAAAAATCCTCCATTAAAAGGCCAATTTCAATGACAATTTTCTTAAAAGAGTTAGAATTCACTCTGGGTAAACATCTGCAAAACCAATAATCTAAGAGCAGGTTTAAGATTCTCGTCTTTTAGCATGTTTCTCATGGGTTTCAAAATATCATACCTTTGTGATGAATGGTGTTATGAAAACAAAGAACACATCATAGAGGAGGAGAAGGCCTAGAAGTATCACACACGACTGTTGAAAGAAACAAATTTAAAGGTCAAACTTCCCATATCTAAATTAAGAGATTTTTCAAGTTATAAATAAACATATGAACATACATTTGAACACTATTTTTAAAAGCATTAATGGTTATTACTATTTGTAGTTTTCTCTATAAACCCCATTAAAACTTTTATGTTCTTTATCCTATTCTTTTTATATATAAAAAAAAGAATCACTGAATCAAAGAAATGTTTTTCCCTGATATTTAGTCCTGTAAGAATTTTATAAATTAGGCATATATGTAAATGATTTAAAATATTTTAGCTAGCAAATCAGTAGTTACCTGGGACTGGGGTTTAGGATTGATTGCAAAAGGGCATGATAGAGCTTTTGAAGAGATGAGAAATGTTGTTTAACTTGATTGTGATGGTGGTTACAAAGTTATACATTTGTAAAATTTCAATAAACTTCACACTTAAGATGGGTATAATTATATGTAAATTATACCTCAGTAAAGTTGTTTTAAAAAGAAAATATTATCGCCCTGGCTAGGGGGCTCAGTTGGTTGGAGCATCGTCCCACACACCAAAAGGCTGCAGGTTCAATTCCTGGTCAGGGCACATACCTAGGTTGCAGGTTTGATCCCCAGTCGGGGCACATATGGGAGGCAACTGATTGATATTTCTCTCACATCGATGTTTCTCTCTCTTTCTCTCTCCCTAAAATCAATAATAATTTTAAAAACATAAAAAGAAACAATTATTTTAGCTGTCAGAGTAGAATACCTTACCTTGAAGTTGGGTAACTTCAGTGTTTTAATTAAATTCAGGCAGAAAGCAATCCCCAAGATATCCTGTAAAATCCAAGCCCACCTAAAATCAAAAGAAATTACTCTATTATTTTATCCAGTTATTTTCAGATGGAACTTTCCTTTTCTTTTTTAAGTTTATTTTTTGTTGTTGACAGTATTTTCCCACCACTTCCCTCTCCACCCAGCCCCCGCCCCACCCCAAGCCTTCACCACACTATTATCTGTGTCCATGGGCTGTGCAAATACTCATTAAGTCTTTGGTTAATCTTTTCCCATCCTCCCACCTCCCTCCCCTGTCAGTCTATTTCTCAGGTGGAACTTTTCAAAAGAATAGATCACTAAAGTAAAATTGTTCAATTGCTATGATTTGATTATTCAATAATCAAGCAGCAATTATAAAAATACAATGAAAAACCTCTTCTATTTTTCATATTTAGTAATTTACTGCCTTAATAGAATAATTAATACTACTATACTATCAGACATAAATGCATATTTATCTTTAATCTCTGAATTTATACATGTCTCTTTCTAGAAAGGTGGTGTATAACAAAGGATAGGTAGCTAAAACATAAAGGAAACAAGAGCTATGCAACATACTCTATCAGAAATGGATATGCATAATTCCTAAATGATTTCTCATACCTGAAGCTGCCTAAAATGTATGAACTTTGCTCCCAAATCTTAGGGTATTAAATCCTTTGGACTTTACTAATTTCATTAATAAAACACTAAAGAAACTTAAATATATATTTTTTCTGGTTATCCTTCCTGTAAATGGATGAATACCTATATATTTTTCTTATATCTCCTTCTTTATTAAATAAGAGGTAACCTACTCTAGTATACTTATATTCTTTTGCATCTTTTTCACTTAAAAATATATTCTGGAAATGACTGCATATCAATTCATAGAGATCTTCATTCTTTATAGCTGCACTGTACTCCATTGTATACTAAACTATGGCTACATCATAATTAAGCATATATGTAGTTAAGTCTATTTCAGCTTAGATGTTTAAATTATGATTCATTATTACCTTCTCTATATGACCTCAAACTAATACAAAATCTGCTTATTTAACAAGTAACTTTTTTCAAGACTATGGTGTTCTGGGATAAAAGCAAAAACTTCCATAATAATCATAATGAATAATTATCAGGACAAGACATAAAATAATCCATCCATAATCTAAAAGCAAATAAACTAAGTACTTATACCTATCTTCATTTCTAAACACGGCCCAAACAGCAGCTATTGCTATGCACAGTCCAGAGAGAAAAATAAGTCTCACTTCAATGCTTTTGCCAGAACACACAATCCTAAAACGACAACAAAAGAAACACATGGGAATAGGTTAGTTTACCTTGCAGATGAAATAAAATGTTTATTTACTGTGAGAAATGACAAATATTAACCACAGTCACAAGAAAACTATTGCAATAACAATTTAAAAGTCTTGATTTTAAATAAAATGTAATAAAATAATAAAATGTTTATCAGTTCAATAGAACCTTCTGTGATGATAGAAATATTCCATATTGGGACTCCAATATGGACTATATTTTATTTCTTTTTTTAAAATATATTTTATTGATTTTTTTACAGAGAGGAAGGGAGAGGGATAGAGAGTTAGAAACATCGATGAGAGAGAAACATCGATCAGTTGCCTCCTGCACACCCCTTACTGGGGATATGCCCGCAACCAAGGTACACGCCCTTGACCGGAATTGAAACTGGGACCCTTGAGTCCGCAGGCTGACGCTCTATACACTGAGCCAAACCAGTTAGGGCTATTTTTTAAAAAATATATTTTATTTCTTTAAAAATATACTTTTATTGATTTCAGAGAGAGGAAGGGAGAAGGAGAGAGAAACATTAATAATGAGAGAGAATCATTGATTGGTTGCCTCCTGGATGCTATCCACTGGGGATTAAGCCCACAATCTGGGCATGTGCCCAAACCAGGAATCAAACCATGACCTCTTGGTTTATAGGTTGACACTCAACCACTGAGCCACACCGGCCTGGCCATGTGGCAATTTAGCACTTGAAATGTGGCTAATGAAACTGAGGAACTAAATTGTAATTTTACTTAATTTTAATTAATTTAAATTTGAATAGCCACATGTATACTAAACTGCACAGATTTAAAATAAGACTACTTTTTCTTGTATTGTTTTATATTACAAAAACCAACATTACAGGATGCCTCATAAGAGATACATACGTGCATTGTCCATATGGTATCTTACGAATTAGTGCAGCAAGACAGTTGTATAGACTCATTGCTGATGCTATGCAGAAAATTGCTATCATAACATAAACTAGAAGAAAACAAAACAAGACACTAAATTATATGAGAACAGAAAAAAATGTAACAAGAAAATATTTACACAGCAATATCAATTCTTTAGCTTTCTCATCAGATCATGATACTTTCAATGCACTGGCCATATTATGATCTGAATTGGTTACTAAACTGAAAATATTTACATCTTGAGTTTTTAAGAGTAATTTATGTTGTTTCAATTCCTTTATACATTGGAAGGATGATTGCTTAAAGGGTTGTGAAGCTGGCTCTCCATTTACTATCATTCAAACTGACATGTTTGTTAAAGATTTCTATGAAGGGAGTTGTACACATTTATGAGTATTTAATTTTAATGTAAGAAATAGAAGAATGAATAAGCCAATATAAACACTTTTTTAAAATTAAAATTTTTTTTATTGTCTCAAGTTTTACATATGTCTCTCCCCCCCCCCCCATTGATCCCCCCCCCCCCCCAACCACTCCCACCCTGGGCAAGCCCCCACCACCCCAGTGTCTGTGTCCATTGGTTATGCTTATATGCATGCATACAAGTCCTTTGGTTGCTCTCTACCCCCCCCGCCCCCCACCTTCCCTGTCATTTGTCTCTGGATCTATTCTTGTTCATCAAATTATGTTGATCATTATATCCCACATGAGTGAGATCATGTGATATTTATCTTTCTCCAACTTGCTTATTTCGCTTAGCATAATGCTCTCCAGTTCTATCCATGCTGTTGCAAATGGTAAAATAGTTGCTTCTTTTTTATAGTGGCGTAGTATTCCATCATGTAGATGTACCACAGTTTTTTAATCCACTCATCTGCTGATGGGCACTTAGGTTGTTTCCAAATCTTAGCTATTGTAAATTGTACTGCTATGAACATAGGGATGCATATATTCTTTCTGATTGGTGTTTCTGGTTTCTGGAGATATAGTCCTAGAAGTGGGATTACTGGGTCAAATGGGAGTTCCATTTTTAACTTTTTGAGGAAACTCCATACTGTCTTCCACAGTGGCTGTACCAGTCTGCATTCCATAAACACAAAATGCAGCTTAGGAATGAGAACTGACACCTTAGACATTAGCCATGCTATCTATATTTTTCTAAAGTTGAATTTATCTATAACTTGGCCTGTGGTAAAACCAAATCCATTTAAGCAAACCTCTTTGTTATGAAACAATACTAAGGCAGTTAAAATTGACAAGTGTTTTTCTTTTCTTTTTTGTTTTTAAGTATTTTAAAAAATATATTTCCACTGATTTCAGAGAGGAAGGGAGAGGGAGAGAGAGATAGAAACATCAATGATGAGAGAGAATCATGGATCAGCTGCCTCCTGCACGCCTCCAACTGGGGATCGAGCCTGCAACCCGGGCATGTGCCCTTGTCCGGTATTGAACTTGGGACCCCTCAGTCTGCAATCCAACACTCCATCCACTGAGCCAAACCAGCTAGGGCGACAAGTGTTTTTCTATAGTAGCTATACTTATTTGAGAATTCTTTAAAATTAAAAACATTTGGTCTCCTTGTTGTTAAAATAGGGGGGGCTTATTGTACTCTAAAATAAAATAAAAATAATTTGTTTTCTGAACTTCATCAAAATTTCACAATGGAAACACAAATTTTACCTGAATTTTTCAAATTCCACTAAATTGCAGAAAACTATAATTGTTCTGCAGGTGAGAAAGAAAGTAATCTAGAGATGGTAAGTAAGGGATAGCCACTTTCTAATTGGTGATGTAGACAAATTTACTTTTTAGTCCCTGAGTCTCATCTTTAAAATGTGAAATATAATTATACCCATGTCAGGGTTACTGTGAGGATCTGGCACATAATTAGCTTTATATAACTCTTATTTGTTGCTATTTTAATTATCCTATATAATAAACAGCTAATATGCTAATTAGACTGAAACAGCAGAACAACTGTCCAGATAACCTTCTGGGCGACCTTCTGGACGAAGCCGGGGCTGTGAGGGCCAAGCCCTTTGCTTGAATTTCGTGGATTAAGCCTCTAGGTCAATGATGGCGAACCGAGAACCAAGATGGAGGCATAGGTAAACACCGGAGTTTGCTGCCTCGAACAACCACTTCAAAAATACAACTAAAAGACAGAAAGGACATCATCCAGAACCACAGGAAGGCTGGCTGAATGGAAATTCTACAACTAGAAGGAAAGAGAAAAGCATACCGAGTCTCAGAGGAGGTGCAGTGCGGCAGTAAAATACAAAGGTGCGGAGGTGCATGTGGAGCAGGCTGGCAGCTGAGGGCGCGGTTGTCGTTTTCAATCAGGAGGGAGTCTCAGGCTCTGAGCTCCAGTTCCGGGCGAGTCTCTAGGGACCCAGACTCATACAGGAGAAGCGGGACTGTCTGGCATCGGTGAGAACCCTAGGGCAGCTTTCTCTCCCAGGGGCTCGCAGCGATTACCAGGACACTGAGAAGCAAAGCCTCTGAGGGCAAGCCTGAGAGCAGCCATAACTGCTAGCACCGCCCTGTTGATCCTGTGGGACCTGCCCCGCCCAAGCCCTGCAGGGAGGCTTTTGCTGGATAGCCTAAGGCAAAGGCTAGATTAGCACCTCCCTAGAGATCCAGGAGCCAGGAAGCCCAGAGGTCAGAGTGGGACCATCCAGTTTGCAGCTCCGTGGAACCATAAAAGACACACTCAGGGGGCAGACTCAGTGAGCACCAAAGCCCCACTGAAGCAAGTCTTGCTCCAGAGGGGTGTCTCCAGCACAGAAGTTCTCCCACTGCAGACACAGCTGATTCTCACAGCCAATTGGCCTGGAGGTCAATTCCTCACAGTGATAACTACAACAATCAAGGCTTAATTACAACAAGACTGTGCACAAAGCTCACAAGGGGGTGCACCAAGAGTGTCTACCTCAGGTAATTGGGACACTTAGCACAGAAAGGCACTCTATCGACACTGCCGAGACAAAGAAACAGGACACAAATGACAGAAATGGAGGAAAGCAAACTACAGGATATAGAGTTCAAAACCACACTTTTAAGGTCTTTCAATAATTTTCTAGAAACTGCAGATAAACTTAATGAGATCTACAAGAAATCTAATGAGACCCTCGATGTTGTGATAAAGAACCAACTAGAAATTAAGCAAACACTGACTGAAATAAAGAATATTATACAGACTCCCAACAGCAGACCAGAGGATCGCAAGAATCAAGTCAAAGATTTGAAATACGAAGAAGCAAAAAACACCCAACCGGAAAAGCAAAATGAAAAAAGATTCCAAAAATACGATGATAGTGTAAGGAGCCTCTGGGACAGCTTCAAGCGTACCAACATCCGAATTATAGGGGTGCCAGAAGAAGAGAGAGAGCAAGATATTGAAAACCTATTTGGAGAAATAATGACAGAAAACTTCCCCTACCTGGTGAAAGAAATAGACTTACAAGTCCAGAAAGCGCAGAGAACCCCAAACAAAAGGAATCCAAAGAGGACCACACCAAGACACATCATAATTAAAATGCCAAGAGCAAAAGACAAAGAGAGAATCCTAAAAGCAGCAAGAGAAAGAAAATCAGTTACCTACAAGGGAGTACCCATACGAATGTCAGCTGATTTCTCAACAGAAACTTTGCAGGCCAGAAGGGAGTGGCAAGAAATATTCAAAGTGATGAATACCAAGAACCTACAACCAAGACTACTTTATCCAGCAAAGCTATCATTCAGAAGTGAAGGTCAGATAAAGAGCTTCACAGATAAGAAAAAGCTAAAGGAGTTCATCACCACCAAACCAGTATTATATGAAATGCTGAAAGGTATCCTTTAAGAAGAGGAAGAAGAAGAAAAAGGTAAAGATACAAATTATGAACAACAAATACACATATATCAACAAGTGAATCTAAAAATCAAGTGAATAAATAATCTGATGAACCGTATGAACTGGTGATTGTAATAGAATCAGGGACATAGAAAGGGAATGGACTGACTATTCTTGGGGGGGGGGGGAAGGGGTGTGGGGGGTGCGGGAAGAGATTGGACAATAATCGTGCACCTATGGATGAGGACAGTGGGTGGGGAGTGAGGGCGGAGGGTGGGGGGGGAACTGGGTGGAGGGGAGTTATGGTGGGAAAAAAGAGGAACCAATGTAATAATCTGAACAATAAAGATTTAATTTAAAAAAAAGATAAATAGAGAACAAAACAATAATAAAATAAAATAAAATGATGGCAAACCTATGACACGCGTGTCAGAGGTGACACGCAAACTCATTTTTTTGGTTGACTTTTCTTTGTTAAATGGCATTTAAATATATAAAATAAATATCAAAAATATACATCTTTGTTTTACTATGGTTGCAAATATCAAAAAATTTCTATATGTGACACGGCACCAGAGTTAAGTTAGGGTTTTTCAAAATGCTGACACGCCGAGCTCAAAAGGTTCGCCATCATTGCCCTAGAACCTACTCTCCCAACAACAGATCAAAATATGAGTGATATTCGAAGAATGATTATTTTCTAATTGGAAATATGTCAATAGATTATATTTTCAAAATTGCTGCCACAGGGCAAGAGAAATTGAATAAGCTGAAACTAACCTTAAGGTTTCAATTTTCTAGTCCAGAAAGTATTCTAATGTTCTCCAAATAAGCATTGTAGCCTTTGGTGGTTTTTACAAGTTCTCATCTATCACCCCCAACCCCCCATTTCCCTGGTCTCTCCACCTCCTCTTTGTACTGTATGTTGGCCAGGAATGGCAAATTTCCATTCTATCAGACAATTAAGAAGATTGTCCAGGGGACGGACAAGCCATTATGTTCCTACCACTACCTACTTAAAGGAATAAGTATCACTTACTCTCTAGATCACAGGCAAATACCTGTGTGTCTTTAGATGTAGTATGAACCTAACTGTTTACACATGTAAAACAAAATTTAAGTAATATAACATCTTGATTTATAAACTGACAGAAGAATAAACTACACTTTGGGGGTAAGCAAAGGCAATAAATCAGTAATTTGAATAGCTTCTATTTCATGTAACTAAATAGAGCCACCAAGAAGTCCTTAGCCTGCTCTTTATTTTTAAAAACTATTTTTATTGATTTCAGGGAGGGAGGAAGGAAGGAGAGATAAACATCAATGATATTTATCATTGATCTGCTGCTGCCTGCATCCCGCATCCCTACTGGGGATAGAGACCACAACCCAGGTATAAGCCCTGACCAGGAATTGAATTGTGACCTCCTAGTTCATAGGTTGATGCTCAACCAACGAGCAACACTGGCCGTGCTAACCTGCTCTTTAGATATTAGGATTTCATGCTTTATCTACAGGGAGGGAAATGTAGGGACCATAACAATTCTTTCAAGTCATTCATGAAGAAGTGTTCTTATCTTAAGACAGTATATTTTTAATCTGAATATTTTTTTTACCCCACAGTAATGGAGACCTAACATTTCTAACAATTTAAAAAGGTAATATCACTTTTTATTTATTCACTTAAGTTTTCCGGGTAGAAGGAAAAGATAAAGTAAGTGAAAAGATTGTTTGCTGAAAATAGCAAATACAAAACATGATTTCTTACCCAACCATTTGTAGAAGAAATAAAGTAAGACCATCATAACACAGCAGATGGCCACAAATATTACAACTGTTAGAGGACTGAAAGTGAAATATTCGTCCTTCTTTCTCCTCATTTCTCTGTCTTCAGTGTCTGCCATTGCTTTCATGCTTTCCCTGAGTAAACATACACAGGAACTTCAGCAAATCTCTTCCAAGTAAAATCATTTGTAAAATCCATCTTTAACACCAACTTAAATTTGTTATTGATTATAAAGCAATACACTTAAAAAAACTCCACCCAAACACCAAAAAGAAATGTTTAATCCAGAAAGTAAAAACTCTCTATTATTCTACCCTCCAGAGATAATATTTTTAACCAGTGTTTTGACTTTTGAAACAGCATTTTTTTCTGATGCAAAATTGATGAAATAGATGACATATATAAACAAATTAAATTTTGTGGATGTTTATATTATCTGATTTGGAAACTATATTAATGGAATAAATTTCAGATGATAACCAATTCTTCTTAAACACTAAATATTATCAATTTACACAGTCAAGTACTAAAATTAGCTTCTTTTAAATGGAAACACTAAAAGTTGTCTATCAACTCAGTATTTACTGTATGCTCATCAGTATATTATGAAGGACTCATAGGAGTTCAAGACATAGCTTTGTCCAACCTTGATTTAAGACAGCAAAACATTGTTTTTAATTCTTCCAACAATCCTTGCTTTCTAGGTCACAGTTAATAAAAGGAAGGGACGGAAGTTGAAGAGGAAAGAGCCTCAAGGGCCCCTTGCTGAGCAGTCTCTGTTCTGTCACCTATTGTCTCCTCCCAGCTGTGTGGAAGCCACTACATGCTTTTCCAGCCCCAATCCCATCAACTCCGGTCTACCAGTGTGCACTCCCGGACCCCTTATCGCCTTGGCTCAGTACAAACGTTAGTTAAAAAAGAGTTTACTTCTATCAAATTACACATTTGCCAAACTGCTTCTTTACCAAATGCCACTATCTTATGAGAACCTTGTTAACTGAGATGGCCACCACATTAAGCATCTGTGACTTTAGGCAGGCTACCGGGGATAAGAGAAGGGAGAGTCTGAGGACAGACACAACAGCACCTCCCTGAAACTGTATAGCTACACGGTTATTAATGTAAGTTTCATTAAAAGTGATACCCAAGTGGGAAAATGTGCCACCTATGGTATCTATCATTATAAACAAATATATTTATTTATTTATTATTATTATTTTTTTTCAATTAGCAATAATCGCGCCTCGGATAAATCTCTTTGGCTATGATACTGCTACTGTGCAAAGCTATATAAACAAATTAGCAGCCCTGCGCACGAATCCGTGCGCGAGTAGCTCGCTGCCACGTGCCTCAGCTGGCCACCCCACCCACTGTGGCTGGTAGCTCTCTCGCAAATAGCTCGCTGCCCCACCGTCCTGTAGCTCTCCTCCGCTTGTAGATTGGTCCTGACGTTACAGTGTCCAGGCTAATTTGCATATTCCTCTATTATTATATTAGATATACTTAAAGACATTTTTTAATCAGAGTACACACGTAAGCCATAACAATGAAGATTTACATGTCCGTATTCAGTGTAATAGAAAGCACGAGGCAATTTCTTGAAGGGAAAACGTATACTAGACTAGCAGTTCTCAACCTGTGGGTTGCCAACCTGTGGGTCGCGACCCCTTTGGGGGTCGAACAACCCTTTCACAGGGGTCGCCTAAGATCATTGGAAAACACATATATATAATTACATATTGTTTTTGTGATTAATCACTATGCTTTAATTATGTTCAATTTGTAACAATGAAAATATATCATGCATATCAGATATTTACATTACGATTCATAACAGTAGCAAAATTACAGTTATGAAGTAGCAACGAAAATAATTTTATGGTTGGGGGTCACCACAACATGAGGAACTGTATTAAAGGGTCGCGGCATTAAGAAGGTTGAGAACCACTGTACTAGACTGATATCAGATTAAAACACTACAATTCATCTAAAAAAAAAAAAAAGAAAATACTAGAATTCATCTTTTTAAAAAATTGTTCTCAAGAGCCACATGCAAAGCTCTTCTCCATGCCATCTTGAGTTTAGAAAACTTGAGGACCAGTGATCTCATTATAGTAAGACTTCACATTTCTACTGAAAAGTCTGCCGACGCTCTATCCACTGAGCCAAACCGGTTTCGGCTACCTTGCACTTTTCAAGGTAATTCTGGGTTATGAGGTCCTGTCCTGGCAAAATTTCCCTGTCCTAAGCCTTATTCTCTTTCCCTTCTCTTTCATTTACTCTTTACTTGCCAAATGATAATCCTTATGTTCTTAATAATTTTACTTTTCATGGAAATTTTTACTTTTTATCACTGATTCATATTCCCTTTTTTTATATGTTGTCACCCTCCCTACCCCAATCATACATACACTTACTTCTTTCTTTATCTTACTCTTAGACTCAGCTACCTCAATATTAAAATCCATAATCTTAGAGGTAAAGGACATCTCCTCTCCCAACCTGGCTATTGAAGGCAACAAAATCTGTTTCTGCCTATCGTGATGTTTTATAAATAAAAAAGCTTATATGTACTCCTCTCCCATCTCCAGTTTTCTTGAAGAGACTGCCCTGATATATATGTGAAGCCTGCCTTGCTAATTCAAAGGGTGGTCAATGGCCAGCAAAATCACTTGGGAGCTTGTTAGCAATGCAGAATCTCATTCCCCACCCCGAGCCTCCTAAATCTGAACTTCTATTTTAATGAGATCTCAAGACAGTTTGTATGCACATTACAGTTTGAGAAGCACTACTTTAAAGAAACAATGTACATAGTAATGGAAGTACAGGGTGAATTTATATTAAATAGAAAAAGATTCTTAATGAATTAGAAGCTTTTGGGAAATTATTTATAAAGTTTCAACAAATAATCTAGAAAATAACCGGAGACCTAGTTACATACCTTGTTTTCTAAAGATTAATATTAATGAAGAAAAAACAATGTTTACAGGAAAACACGTGACTCATATATTTTGAAACATGTTTTCCAAATATGTAAAATATTTAAAGTTCAATACTCAGGAAACCTATACTTGTTAAACCCTAAGATTTCTCTCTTTTTTTTTTTTTTTTTATATTTTATTGATTTTTTACAGAGAGGAAGGGAGAGGGATAGAGAGTTAGAAACACCGATGAGAGAGAAACATCGATCAGCTGCCTCCTGCACACTCCCCACTGGGGATGTGCCTGCAACCAAGGTACATGCCCTTGACCGAAATCGAACCTGGGACCCTTGAGTTCGCAGGCTGACGCTCTATCCACTGAGCCAAACCGGTTTGGGCAAGATTTCTCTCTTGATGTAAATAAATCAAATTTCAGTATTTTAAAAATTGTAAGTAAGCTTATTAGCTTCATTTAATTGCAAATAAGCCCTTTTTAATGAAATCTAGAGCAGCGGTCGACAACCGGTGGTCCACGAACCACTGGTGGTCCATGAGGTCTGAAAAGTTGGCAACCACTGGTTTAAGGAAACCTTTGGAGCAGCGGTCGCCAACCGGTGGTCTGCGGACCACTGGTGGTCCATGAGGTCCGAAAGGTTGGCGACCGCTGATCTAGAGATCAATTCACAAGGTGAATATATTGTCCTTCATGGATGAATTAATATGTTCTGAGCACTTTTTTAAAATTCAGAGTTATAAGTATGAAATGATCTTTCTCTACTGTGTTGCCTACTTTAATCTAGAGCCAAAGGTACATAACTGTAAGAAGATTGGGTTTAGGTTGTTATTAAATACGGAAATCCAAATTTATGTACATTTGAAATTTCTACATTTAAATTAAAATATGGACATGTTTAATATTCTCCCTAAAGCACTGAACAGAATGATGAGGTCACACTGTATTGACTTAACTCAAAAGGAGCTGGGAAACCCCTCACCTTCTCTTACTTATTGTCTTCCAACCTAAATAAACAGGCATGTTAGGGAACTAAGTACCTTCACCTTCCTGGGAGACCTCATTGAACATCTTAAATGAAGAGTCTTTGACAGAATGTCAGTGTTTCCCTGCCAGCTGAAGAATTAGAGGAACCTATGACCCGCTTCTCAGAGATAAGGCGAATGACCCGTATGAGAACAAACTGCAATCTGATCTTAACCACACTATTTTCTGAGGTGGAATTTAAATGTTGTTATATGATTAAAATAATTTCAAGTAATAATTTTTAGCCATTTATCACAAAAAACACTGAAGTTTAATTAAACTTACAATTCAAGTAGTCCACTCCAGTATCCTCCTAATGCCACAGTGAACACAGAAATTACAAAAATAACCACCATAGTATAGTCAAAGTTAGACCGTGACGGAGAATACATTTTCACAGTAATGTTATCTCCAAGAGTCTGAAAGGCAAAAAATGAGAGTTAAAACACCAGTGTTAGTTTCTTCCCACTAGAGTATGGCTGTAGCACTCCAATTTCGCTCTGGAATGGACACTGCGCCAGGCAGTCAAGAATACTAGAACTAGTTTTGACAATATGACATATTCTCTTGTCAAAATTAGGAGGCTATATTTTGGTTTATTAAATCTTAAAACTGCAGTATTCCATACAATCAGAGGTTTTAAAGAAGTCAAAACAAATCAATATCCTTTCTGAAGTCAGGGCTCAGAAACACCTTGTGCTAAATGGGAGGTGAATACTTCCCAAGTAAAGACTTGGTAGGCCTTCACAGCTTCTTGTTGGCAAGTGTAGCATGTATAATCATTTAAGTTAAATATCAGTGGTTAAAAGTAAAGAGTGTACTAGGTATGAACATTGTCTAGTATGTAATTACTAATTTACCTGCTTCATATCTTTGAAGTCTCTGTTGTTTATAAATGCAATCAGTATTTTCATATCATGAAATTCAGATGTGTTCCCTGAGGGAGCAAACTAAAAGAAAAAAACACACACATATTATGAAAACGTATGAACTACTAACATATTTACAGAATAAAATCCAAATTATTCCAATAGAATATCACATCTTTATCAAGTTATAAAACAAGGGGTGCGGCCGGAAAGGGGGCCGCCCCCACGCCCTTCACGCAACGCACGTTCGTGGGGAACCTGGCGCTAAACCATTCGTAGACGACCTGCTTCTGGGTCGGGGTTTCGTACGTAGCAGAGCAGCTCCCTCGCTGCGATCTATTGAAAGTCAGCCCTCGACACAAGGGTTTGTAAAAATAAAAAAGAAATAAAAAGCCAAAAAAAAAAGAAAAAAAAAAGTTATAAAACAAAGTTTCAAGTGTTCTTAATATTATAGCAAGAGTTCTCAAACTGTTATATACAGGTATATCATATATATGTAACTCTCACACACACACTATACATACTTGTTCCTAACAAAGTCTTGTCTACTTTAGGAATAGAAAAGAAACTACAAAATATTCCAATTAAATGCCTATCATCACCAGAATGTTTATTTAAAAATAATCCTATTAGATTATTCAAAACCACACACACAGAAGATAGTTCAACCTGTGAAATTTGATATCATGAGCTCAAAAGAAATTATTATCGATAATAATAAAGGCGTAATATGCTAATTAGATTGGACAGCCAAACAACCTTCAGGACGTCATTCTGGTTGAAGCCATGGTGGTGGGGGCCAAGGCTGAGGCCGAGGCGGTTAGGGGCAATGAAGCAGGCAGGCGAGCAGTTAGGGGTGATCAGGCAGGCAGGCAAGTGGTTAGGGGTGATCAGGCAGGCAGGTGAGTGGTTAGGGGCGATCAGGCAGGCAGGCAGAGTGGTTAGGGGCAATCAGGCAGGCAGGCAGAGTGGTTAGGGGCGATCAGGCAGGCCAGCGGTCCTGGATTGCAAGAGGGTATAGGCTGGGCTGAGACAAACCCCCCCCCACCCCCCACCCCCCACCCCCACCCAGCACAAATTCCGTGCACCGGGCCTCTAGGAGTTTTATAACTTACTAAGACACTGTTATTGGCAACCAACAATGCTTCAGCACCTCCGGTTTGTGCAATTCTGGCTTTTTCAAGAAAATGGCAGGTTCCCCACTGAACCACAACTGCTTTGTTCTTTATCCCATCAGAAGGAATATCAGAAATGTTGCACAGTGGTGTGGAAGTTAGATTCTTCAAACTAATGGAAGTCTGAAAAGAAGAATGTTAGCATGGTAAATATCGTATTTCACCCTAAATGCATTTAGTGACAAAGTATCTATTGATTTAATATAATGTTCCTTTAAATCATGCTGATCAGGCTTTGAAATATTTTAAAATTCCCTAACTTGTTTCTCCTACAGAGAGAAAAATATTTAAGCTAAAGCAATAAAACAATTACTATTTATTAATCACATATTACAACTAGTTCATACACTGAAAATAATAATCACTCATTTTCACCTTTCAATATTTTTGTTTACAAAGAAATAGTAATTGTGATGTACTTACTGCATTTTCTAGGGTTCTTGGCAGAGCTGTCCAACGAGGGTTATAGAACATGCAGTAGTCCTTAGATGGTGAAGGTGTGCCAATTCCAGACGCGTGCAGGATTGCTTCCTGAGCAGCTGTCTGGGACATGAACAATAATTTTCACACTAGTGATGATTTGGCTTTGCCAACAACTAAGGATTCTAATAAAGCTATTTATATCTAGGTTGGACCACATTTCCTTAAGAGGGAAGGTCTTCTAGTGATTTTACTTTTTCTTGTTTGAGAAAACACTGAAACTATACACATTTGCCTAGAACACATTCTTTGAGAAAGTCACTTTCTTATGGGGATATTGTTATGGCCCTTGTTGTAAGAGCCATATCCCAGAGAGGATTCTTGCTGTGCTGTGATAATTTCGGAACTCCCTTCACTGCCCGAAACTTTCCTTCCAGACCCCTTTGGGAGTTGTTACTTCATTATTTACGTTCTGTAACAGAAAATCCATGTGAAATCCGTTAACCCACTTGTACCTTCCATAGTATGAATAACTAAGATTTTTTAAAAAGAATATTATTTCTAAGTGCTATTTTCGGAAAAGAACCAAAGAACTCTCAAGTTTTCAAGATTCCGTAACTGCCTATTCAAAAAGAGCAATCCAGAGTTTAAAGGGAGGGAAAAGAGCTAGAAAAATGTTATTTCCTTTTGCCTCATTTCCCACTGTCTGGGAAAAAGAAAAAGAAAAAAGGAGACAAGACGTAAGAAGTGACTGAAAAGAATAAGTATTATACATGAGGGTGAGAGTGGAGAGTATGAAATGATGAAACATCCCAAGATAATTAGAATACCACTCTGCATCACGATTCCCTTCAAACTTGGATCAATTCAAATCCCACTTTCCTCCTCCTTTGAACAAATCTTTCTCTAAAACATAAGGGAGAAAGAAGATTGCTTGGCAAATGAAGATGATGGACTAAGCCTCTACTAAAGCATGCATTAGGTTGAGCCACATCAAATTGCTGATAATTGAACATTTTGTTCTATAAAATTGGCAATTTCATGTAAGACAATCTAAATTTTTAATGAGTACAAAATGCTCTAACCCATGCTCCTACCTAAAATTTCCCTTGAACATTTGGGATTAGAAAGCTTTCTGGCATAGGGACTTCGTTAGCTTAAGGATCTAAGCCAGTATAGCGAATTCTTTTAAAATGCCATCAAATTACATAGAATAATTAAAGATATTATTTGTGAAAAAATAAATGTAGTTTTTATTTGGCTATATATATGGTGGCCATGAATGGATTCTGACAGCAGAGATGAATCGATATGTTAGATTCTTACTATACACCAAATTATTTTTGTTATAAACAAACTGTACAAATGAAACAAAGTATATTTAGGTTATTTTCATGCATTTGTCTGATTCAGTACCGCTGTTTTACAAAGAGGGCTTTGAGACTCAGAGAAGTTATTAACATAGCCTAACTAAGGTCATACGGTAGACTCATCCCCAATTCTAACTACAGAAGGTAATCCTGCGGATACTTATGAGGGTGGATTAGGCTTAGATTACATATTTTTTAAAAAGAATACTCTATAGGTGAACTGGGTACTTATGGCAGCCAATAAAATGGCACATGAGCCCAGCTGGCGTGGCTCAGTGACTGAGCGTTGACCTATGAACCAGGAGATCACGGTTCAATTTCCGGCCAGGGCACATGCCCCTGTTGCGGGCTGGATCCTCAGTGTGGGATGTGCAGGAGGCAGCCGATCAATGATTCTCTCTTTCTCCCTCTACCTTCCTCTCTGAAATCAATAAAAACATATTCTTTTAAAAAATGGCACATGATGTCAGGATGTCCCTCTACTAGTGCTGCCAAGTTTAATTACTTGATTACTAGCAACTGCAGGATTTTTCTAGTGTAAAGTTATATATTTTCCCTTTGTGATTGGTAAGTAATCTGTCGCACCATATGAACAGATCAACAATCTTTCACTTAGTGTTTTAGCTTCCATGAGCATCCATGCCTGAAATTTATTTTACATATTATGTTGGGTATTACAAAACAGTAAATTTTTAAAATATGTTTTTATTGATTTTTAGAGACAGGAAGGGAGAGGGAGAGAGACAGAAACACTGATGATAGAGAAACATCAACACCGAATGGCTGCCTCCTGCATGCTCCTTGCTGGGGATCAAGCCTGAAGCCCAGGCATGTGCCCTGACCGGGAATGTGCCTGACCAGGAATCAAACAGGTGACCTCTTGGGCGGACACTCAACTACTGAGCCACACTGGCCAGGCAGTAATTTTTTTTTAATACTGTCATTCCTTCTACATTTACTCTTTTTTTTTTAAATTTATTTTATTGATTTTTCACAGAGAGGAAGGGAGAGGATAGAGAGTTAGAAACATCGATGAGAGAGAAACATCAATCAGCTGCCTCCTGCACACCACCTACTGGGGATGTGCCCGCAACCAAGGTACATGCCCTTGACTGGAATCGAACCTGGGACCCTTCAGTCCGCAGGGCGACGCTCTATCCACTGAACCAAACCGGTCAGGGCTCTACATTTACTCTTTAAAAATGTTTTACTCTCTCCCTCTACTACCTTTTGTTTAGTATCATACTCAATTTCTTATTAAAAAAATATTTTTTTATTGATTTCAGAGAGGAAGGAAGAGGGAGAGAGAGAAACATCAATGATGAGAGAGAATCATTGATTGGCTACCTCCTGCACACCCCCCACTGGGGACCAAGCCCACAATCCAGGCATGTGCCCTGAAGGGGAATGGAACTATGACTTCCTGGTTCATAGGTCGACACTGAACCACTGAGCCATGCTGACTGGGCAAGACTCATTAATTTTTTAAAAATCCAATGTAATGTAATTACAATTATGCATTTTGCAGATCAAATTGTCCCTAATTTGGCCAGTAGAATCTCTTCCAGCTGGTTCTTTATATCCTTTTGACAGGACTTCATTAGTCTTGGAGTACTTCCATGTTTTTTGGCACAAGATGTCCTAGGCTGGCTTTATCCTTCACCTGCCACAGATCTGGAACCAGCCATTCTACTAAGCTCCTTTAGGAGAGGAACAATATTTAGATCAGGACTTCAGTTATTGTGCACACTAGTGGTCCGGTGCATGAAATTCATGCACATTAAAAGGGAATTAATTAGAGGAAGTATTTTAATATTGCTATTTGCCCTTTATAATAAAAGTGTCAGAGATGAAATAAAATTAGGAAAATGTATATGAAAATCTCCCTCCTGCCAGAATCTGGGGTGTGCTGTGGGACGCAGAGTCAAGTCCCAGTCCATCCACACACGCCTCGAAATCGCACGAGACCCAGACCTGGCCAGCCCTACCCCCGTCAAACCCCGCAGGGTGGGAGGCGCAAGTCCCCTGTAAAGCCCCACCAGGTGGGGGGCACAGCCTCAGGTCCCCCGTCAAGCCCTGCTAGGTGGGGGGTGCAGCCTCAGGTCCCCCGTCAAGCCCTGCCGGGCGGGGGGCGCAGCCTCAGGTCCCCTGGCCTAGCCTCAGGTCCCCTAGCCCTGGCGTGAGGGTGTGACAACCATTTGCATATTAGCTCTTTATTATATAGGATGGCTGTTGAAATGGTATAGCCTTTATAATAGACAACTGGTAGTATCAAGCAAAAATTTTAATACATAGAATCCTCTGATTCATATCCTACAGGTGTGTTATGCAAATGCACAAAGATAGATGTACAAGGATATTCACTGCAGTATTTGTTATAAAAAAAAAAAATCAGCAACTTCCACCGATAAGGAGCCCATCATAGTACACAGCTATTAAAAAGAAACAACTAGATCTTTCTGTAGAAACAGATGTCCATAGTGGAAACAGCAAATTTCAGGGAGATACTTGTAGTGTAATCTTATGTTTATGAAAGTAATGACCCACCCCTCCCCCCAAGCTCCTTATAGATATTTACTAAAGACCCGGTGCACGCATTCATGCACCCATGGGGTCCCTCAGCCTGGCCCGAGCCCTCTCGCAATCTGGGACCCCTAGGGGGATGTTGGAGAGCTGGTTTCGGCCCAATCCCCGCAGGCCTCTAGTATGCATATAAGATCTTTGGTTAGCTCTAGCTGGTTTGGCTCAATGGATAGAGTGTTGGCCTGTGGATTGAAAGGTCCCAGGTTTGATTCCAGTCAAGGGCACATGCCCGGGTTTTGGGCTCGATCCCCAATAGGGGGTGTGTAGGAGACAGCTGATCAATGGTTTTTTCTCATCATTGATGTTTCTATCTCTCTTTCCCTCTCCCTTCCTCTTTGAAATCAATAAAATATATTGAAAAAATTAAAAATAAAAAAACCACGGTCTTAAAAAAAAAAAAAGATCTTTGGTTAATTTCTTTCCACCCTCCCCCCTTCCCTCTGAGATTCATCAGTCTGTTCCATGTTCCCATGCCTGTGCATTGAGCATCTGCCCCCTGGTGGTGAGTGTGTGTCATAGCTACCGGTCAAACGGTCACTTAGGCCAGGAGTCCTCAAACTTTTTAAACAGGGGGCCAGTTCACTGTCCCTCAGACCGTTGGGCCGGACTATAGTTTAAAAAAAAAAACTATGAACAAATTCCTGTGCACACTGCACATATCTTATTTTGAAGTAAAAAAACAAAAAGGGAACAAATACAATATTTGTATTTGCATGTGGCCCGCAGGCCGTAGTTTGAGGACCCCTGACTTAGGCTTTTATATATATAGATGTGAGCTTGAAGAAGGATGTGGAGAGAGACACACCAGACTATTTAAAATACAAACAAACCAACAAAACAGAGTGAGAGGAAAACAAAAGCAAAAGTGAGGGTGTAAAAAGACTGGAAAGAGAAACTTAAAAAAGAAAAAAAAAAGCATTCAAGCAGAACAGAAAGGTATAAAGTCCCTCCCCCCCTTATCTGCTCCTTACTGCTTGCCCCAAATCCTCCCTCTTCACACCAGTTCCTACAATCACTGGTCATGGAATCAAGTGTTCTCTAAGGCCATCAAATCATCAACCTCACACCAGTGCCTTTACTTTCTGCATTTCACTTGACCCTCACTTGCAAGGGAAGTAAGTAAACTAGCCCATAGTATAAAGTAGTCCTTCCTTTTTTGACTCAAATTCA